AGATCTTTTATATCAAGCTGAATCAAATCTGAGAAGAAAGACACACATCCTGTGATCAAATTTCCAGTCCAATACCATCCAATATAAGTTGTACACTATTTCACATTCCCTCGGTACCCTTGATTTACATGTTTCAAATTGTTTAAGGAAAGAAGTACTACATGGCTCTAAAATTCCTTCATTTCTCATCTACAACCATGGTACTCCGTAAGGCTATTTCCACAGATTTGCAAGTTTGGATCACTGTGGTTCTGACACATTTCATCTTATATGCAAGTTAGTTTACACCTTTCATTCTTCCTCCAGGTATTAAGGTCACATATCATTGAAGGCTGAACTTATGTTGTTCCAAAATTTCTGCCTTTTATTCCCTACTGAATATTGTTGCCGGTGAATTCCTCAGAAATCAGAAGATAAGGACAAATGTAAAATCACGATATATTAAATTGGTAACTAATGAGTTTTACCTGCTTGGGCTCAAGTTAAATTCCTGAGATTTAGTGGGTTTTTGTCTTAGGGTTTCTGTTGTTTTGATAAACACTATGACCAAAATATAAAATGGGGAAGAAATGTTTATATCACTATACTTAGTTATGACATTCCATCACTGAAGTCATGGTAGGGACTAAAGGCTGGTACCTGAACCAGAGGCCATAGAGGTATGCTGTTTCTGGACTTGCATTGCTATCTCTTGCTCATCTTGCTTTGTACACTTCAGGGTATCACCCACCATTGTCATTGCCCAAATCAATTGACACTCAAGAAAATGCACAATAGGACCAATAAAAGGAGAAGCTATTCAGGAAATGTTCCTCAATTGATGTTCTGTCTTCCACAATGCCTCTTGATTGTGTTAAGTTCATGTAAATCATCCAAGCAGTCTAGTCTAAAGAAAACAGACATGGTTTCAATTATAAGGGAAAGCATAAATGTCTTTCTGGATCCAAGGTACCTCACTGCCTCAATCAGGTTAATATGATTTTGGCTTCATCCATTTACCTAAAATTTTCATTTTTTCTTAAGAATAGAATAATGCTACATTGTGTAAGTATACTACATTTTCATCATTGTCCATTCTTCAGCTGATTGACACTGACCTGATTTCCAATTTTGGATACTATGAATTGAGCAAGAATGAACATGTTTGAGCACCATTCTGGGTTATAAGATGTAGAGTCTTTTGAGATTATGCCTGTAGTTCTATGGATGGATCTTATGGCAGATATGTTGTCATCTTTTTGTTGATCCTTCACATATATTTCTGCAATATCTATAACAGTTTTTACTTGCATCCTTTCCCCACATTCTTACCACCATCTGTTGTAATCTGTTTATTAATATTGCCTATTCTGACTCAAGAATGATGAAATATCAAGGTAATTTTAATTCACAGTTAACTTATGGCTAAGGAAATGATTCCTAATGATATTTTGCTATTGTCATAAATCAATGCCTAGTCTAATCATCATTAGAGAGGTTTCCTACTGCAGCCCAAAGGAACAGAAGCACAGACCCACACCCAAATATTAGGTGGTACTCAGGAAATCCTGAAGAAGAGGGGAGGAGAAACTGTTCGAGCCAGAGGGGTCAAAAACACCAGAAGAACACTGCACACAGAATCACCTAAGCAGGACTCATAAGGGCCCACAGAGATTGAAGCAATAGACAAAAAAAGCCTTCTTGGGTCTGCACTAGGTCTGCTGCATAAATGATGTAGTTGTGTAGCTTCAGGTTTTAGTTCGACTCCTAACAGTGGGAGTATGGGTGTCCCTGACTCTTTTGCCTTCTCTTGGGACCCTTTTCCTCCTACTGGATTTCATAGTCCAGTCTTGATAAGAGGGCTTGGGTCTGCTTTTACTTAATCATTTTGTGTCAAGTTGAGTTTGTTCTTTTCTGAAGGGAGAGGAGGAGCACTGGATCCAGGCTAAAGGGAAGATGTTGGAGGAGGTACTAGGAGGAGTGGAGGACTGAATTGCTGTGAAAATGCCTGAGCACAGATGCTTGCCTTCATAGAACTTCACAATAAGTATACTCCATATGATGATTCCACATACCTTTGACAAAAACAATGGAGGAAGGAAAGATTAAAAAATAAACACAAGAAAACTATATAAAATTAAGGAGATTATACACAACCCTTTTCTGTACCACAAAGACTTGAAATTTATAGTCACATAGAAAAACCAACTGAGCAAAACATTCAACCAAATCATTAAATGTACATTGTTTACACATTGCCAAAAGGAAACACAGAGAATTTTCTATAACTCCTGTAATCATGATATTTAGAAAACACAATACTTCTTACATATAAAATATGAATGCTAGGGTGGAGGGTTCTGCTTGTGAAGTGTTTGCTTTATTAGCACAGGACCTGAGCTTGAACCCAGAAATAAGGATCATGGCATGGTGACATGTGCTTGAATACTTGCACTGGAGACAAAGACACACCAAGATCTCTGGATGTCTCCCCATGTAGTTTATCTTAATTAGTGATATTTAGGTCAAAAAAGACATCCTTTTTAAGTGAAGTCAACAGTGTTCTTCAGAATGACACTATGGCTATTCTCTGTTCAGTATAAATGCACACTCATACTCAAAACACCCATACATAAAGACACAGAAACAGCTGAGAACACCACAAAAATCAAAGTGTGTGTGTGTGTGTGTGTGTGTGTGTGTGTGTGTGTGTGCCTATTCTTCAAATGTGCATTGATGTGACATTTACAGCCTCAGTCTTACATCAGAACAATAGAGAAAAACCTACTAACTTAAATTCTGTGATATGACCATGGAAACATTTGATCATGAATTTACCTGATGGCGAGTTTAGAGCAAAGTTGTTTTTTATCAGGAGATCCTTAAACAAGTAATTCGTATTTCATCTGAAATCAAGGGAAAAAAAGTAAAAGAAGATGAATTCTGTTATGTTGTTTACCATCTGATTGAATCAGGGAGAGTGGAAAGTATAATGTCTGCTTTCATCCAAGGCTGGGAATATCCTACAATTTCTGAAACTATTTAGGACACAGTTCAGATCATATCTTAATCTTATTGTGATGCTTAGAATCTGTACATATCTTGAGGGTTTGTAGCTATAGTCCCTGTATTGTCTCTGTTCTCTATGGTAGAGATATTCTGCAAAATTTATGAAATATAAACACCACTGGTCTGCAGAGTTCTAAGCTGCATAGATGGAGGACAGAGACTTATCTCTTTTGGAAATAACTAATAAGCTAAAATGCAACACAACTGAAAGTACAATATAATGCAATGTAGCAAAACAAAATGTAACAAATTGATAGCCAAGGGGGGAGGGACACATTGAATGTGTTCAAATTTCATGCTCAGGAATCATAACTACAGGATGATGGTTACCATAAGAGAGGTTATGGATGATCCAAGTATTTAAGATGGGCTATGGGAAAAAGTATTTCTATGGAAGCAAACTGTCATAATACTGGTTTGAATTCAAGGAGGTACTATGGCTTTAAATATACCGTGATAATATCCCTCTTATATTAAAACACAAAAAGAGATGAGTTATTTTGATTTATGTTTAGAAAATGTGGGGTGGTTGCTTCTAATTGGAGATGTAAAGATAGAAATTTCAAAGTCATTCTTCTGACTTCTAAGTAAAAAGATTTTTGCCAATAAACAACTGTAGTGACCAGACTATTTTAGTGCATGTCACAGCCCTTAATGGGGCTTGAGGGAGCAGTGAGTGTGGCAGAACCAAGCAGGCTGTGGCCATATTTGACATCATAATGTATCTAAGTATACCCCAAATTCTTTTTTCGATTCTGAGGGCCAGTAAAATTGAGCATTCCAAGGTTAAGAAAATAAGATTCAAGGAAATGTTGGAAGATTATAGACAGATACAGTACCTTCCAGCAAACATTCTAACATAATCAGCTTACTCTCTTATAGTGGATAAGCCTGTTCCTTTTTCATTCTTCAGTAGATCTAGAAAATTTTTATACGAGTCACATGATACCAAAATTTTTTCCATGCTGCTACTGCTGTTGTTAATTGCACAGCAGAATTAAATGATTACAACAATCACTAAAAAAGTGGAAAATTTGGCTCAAACAACATGAACATTTGGGGCTTCTATGCTATAGAACCTTTTATAACATGGAATATCTTTCATGATGCCATCAGTCACTATGTAGAATATTTAAGGATAATTGCATAAAATTGCCATGATTCAGTGACATGATAAGGCCATCAGCAACACTGGCAAAGTGTAACAATTAATTAAACCACTGCAATCAGATGCCATTGCAACCAACAATTATATGATTTGTTTTAGGTCTCAACCCACATAAAGCATGTCATAGTGTAAGATGGGAAAACAAGTTGCCTAAACATGTCATGTTCTGCATTTATAAGTATATTTCATAAATAGATATGATTTGATTGTCAAAATGTCTTCTAAATATTTGTGTTTAGACCTATTGATATTGAGCTAAATATTTTACAGTATTAATAGTTATGGAAAGATATTTGTGCTTAGTTGAAACATTCTATTATAATAGGCTTCTGTGCAGAGAGATTTGTTGGATTTTAAAATCATCCATATGTACTAGGACCACTAGCGAACATTGCAGAAGACATGACAGACACATTAAGATCTTGAACTAGGGAAAAGGATTGGGAAATAAGTTCTTTTTCTTGCTTACATGAAAATGAGTAGTGAATTACAAGAAATGCCCTTGCTGATTTGGAGAAAGACTGAACTCTATGGATCACAATGCGGAAATGCAGCATGACACATATTGACAAATAACTGTGGTAAATGTAAAGAGGATGTTAATATTTCCTGAGGGAAGAATACCGCAGATCTATAGACAATGATTCAATTTTCCCCCCAGCTCTGTCTAGCTCTGCCTATAATATGGTGGTATATATGGGAGGTGGAAACTTCACTGAAGGAAGTACTCAGCTGAAGTAGTTTTCCCGAATTGAAGATCATATTGTGGTGAATCATCTCAAAGATGAAGCTTGCTTTTACTTTACCAAGATCTGGTAAGTATCCATGCATCAGGTACCTCTAAGAATAGAGTCTAACTAAGCCTTAGATTTTTTTTATACAGTACATTTTCTTTGGTGTGCTCTGTTCTGTATTTTTGAGGAGCTGATATTTGTTCACTTTAGGGACAAATCAATACAGACCTGAAAGTTCTCTGTATAGGATATTTGCTCAATTAAGTTTGAGCTCAAGAGTTTCTCATACAGTATCTTCCTTGTTTTTCAGACACAAGGCAATGCTCACAGTAATTTTGTGTTATCTTTTTGGGGAGTGGTTTTCAAGACAAGGTTTCTCTGTGATTTTGGAGGCTGTCCTGGAACTAGCACTTGTAGACCAAGCTGGTCTCAAACTCACAGAGATACTCTGCCTCTTCCTCCTGAGTTCTGGGATTAAATGTGTGAGTCACCAACGCCTGGCTGTTTTCTTAATTAACAGAATGATAGAAAGGGACAGTGTTACTGGTATTTAAGGACCATCAGTTATATAACACCTTCCCTTTCAAGTGTTAACTTCTAGAACAAAAAAATAATACAACTCTAAGTGTTCAATTCACATTAAAGAAACTTAGGCTATATTGAAAACACAAGATGAGATGAATGGTCCAGTTGCTTTCAAGCACAGAGATAGGAATTTATAATCATTTTGTGTGCTCAATAAATAAATCTGAATAAACTATTGGATTATCTAAATCTTAAGTGATACATATAAGAAAAATGAATTAGATAAGACACTAATATATTTAAGAAATTAAAGACAACAATAAATTCTCTGGAATTTCATATATGTGCAGATAATTACTTGAAGTCTCTGGCCCACAGTTAGTCAAAATCCATGTGTTTGCAAACTTGAGGAGCTCCTTTGTAGCAAATGAAAACTGAGAAAATTGTGTCACATTTCAAAATCTGTACTAGAGAAATGTAGCTATTCAATCTGTACTGGATAAATGTAGCTATCTCTCTGCATTTTCCCAGTTGTAACAATGAATACGCTAGGAAGGTATATCAACCCAAATCACATGCCAGAGGGCCTTCAGAGTATATTCCCAGCTTCTTTAACTATAGATCACCTCATTGCCATTTCTCTGACAGCAGGGATGTACATGTTGCTGCTAGTGTCAACTCTTCTACTTTGGGAGCATGTGGCCTCCAAACCAAGTGGCCTTGTGTCCATTGAAGCTCTGTATAATCGTGTGGTGGAACACTCTCATACCTCATATGTCCTGGCTGCAGATATATATCGTGAATTTGTAAGTAATGTCCTTGCTTCTGGATACTTATATTAAAGGGACTTCTAGTGGCTAATCACTAATTATATTGGAATGGGTCATGTAGCCAATTACAAATAATCCACTTTTATTAGTAATAAAAAGAATCATATACCAAAATGTGGAATGGGAAGAATGTGAACTTTCATAAACCATCAAAATAATTTTAAAAAATAAATGATATTTCAATCTTTTCTATATTAATTTTAATAAAAACAACTTTAAACTTCTCAATTCAAAAGTTGATTTCCTGATCATGTATACAAGGGTTCTGACTTTAGAGGCATTCCTTACCTACTGATATGTAGATAACTGGTGCTGGAGAACTGAGTTGATGTTAATGTTTTGACAGAAATAAAACTAAAGAAAATTGAAACAATGAAATACAAAACCCAAACAAAATAGATACATACAATTTTTTAAATGGAAAAGAATCATGGCTCATAATTTACAGTAATGAATGTTTTAGTAAAATTGAAGGGCTACTTTACACAGAAAATATATTCTCTCTTCCAAAGTTATATAACGTACCTTGTCATGCTTTGTCAGTGAGGAAAAAACAAAGCAAATTTCCATTGAAAATTGAGTATGCAGATTATATAACTCTACATTTATAGGGAATATACATTCCCATTGCCATTTTTCCTCATTAGTTTTTCCTATACCATTTCTCCTCTCCTTCTCTTTTAGCTGCACCGCATTTCTAAGAACCCTTTAACTCTTTCAAATTCTGAGAGTTAGAATCAAGTATCAAATAACCTAAGAAGTGCATGCTTCTTATCATTAATATAGAAACATTAAGTGTTTTTTGAATTCTTATGTTACTCACTGCTGAATTGTTTCTTAAAAACATGCTTAGAGTTTAACGATTCATTTTTGATCATAAAAACATTAGTGAATCCTACATTTATCATGAACTTTTTATGGTAGTACACTTGGCAATATTTGAGAGCAAAATTATAAAAGAATAATTATGTTAAAAACTAAAGTCTAATTTGTGCCACTGAAAACACACACACACACACACACACACACACACACACACACACATTCCACCAACACCCAGCTGATATTTATAAATATTGACAAATAACAACAAATCTATTACAATCAGTGGGGCAAAGCTTATAAAGACATAAGCAATTAGAAGTTTGTATTCATTTTAGTGGTATCGTTCTAAACAATAACAGTAGCAAGTAGAGTAAAAAGGAACAGTAAAGAGGGGAAGAGCATGGGAGGACAGTCAACTCTATTCAATATGTAAAGGGAGTGAAAGGTAGGCAGATGATATTTCCATCATTCTACTATTTCAAAATTTTGTTATTAAATTTCCAAAATGTAGGGTTTATCCAACATGTTATATTTATTTCTATTCAATTCTGAATCCCCAATAAACTAAATTATTAATTTCTTCCAGGATTTAAACTTTTTCAAGAGAAGCTGGTTTACAGACAGAACACTCAGCCTATGCCACACAGCTTCCATCTATACTCCAGAGACTCGTCAGGAAGTCCATGACACAAAAGTAGGTTTCATCCCTGTTTTATAATGAAAAAGTAATGACATCTACAGGCTACCTGTGTTGTGTGTGATTGCTAAGCACATAAGAGGTGGTAACTTCAGACCTAATAGATAAAGGAAGATGCAACTGTCAGAGAACAATCATATCATACATGTTGCAAAACTGAGTAGTGTGTCCTTCTTAAGTTTGTAAACTGTTCAGGACCTATTTGTATTCCATCATTATTTTTACAGTCCTCCCTGATTGGGCTGCCTTTTCCTGCATCTTATCTAAAATTCAGTTGTACAAAAGTCTCTGCTCTAGCATATATCATAATCCTCTGGATGACTTCTGTTTTGATGAGGTCTAAATAACTTTGAATATCTAATGTGTGTGTATTATGATCTCTTGCCCTGGCTACCTGTCATTACCATCAGTTTATTTATATAAAATTAATTGTATGTACATCTCACACACATAATTACTCTGAAGTGTTGCTTGTATTACTAACACAAGTATCTCATATACAAGATATTCTCATCAATACAGTATGGCTATAAAAAGAAAAAAAAGAACAAAAGAAAACATTTGTAATGATTACTTTTCTAAAAAGTGTAAAAAGCATACTTTTGGCATTGAAACATTTAATGTTGATAAACATTCTCTGATGAAACTTCTTTTAAGAAGACAATGAAATGAGACTCCAAACAAAAGGCACAAGTAATTTCTCTTGAACATAAGTATGAATTTACACCAAACTTCTTCATGTCATACAATCAGTGTTAATGCTATTGTCTAGATCTCCTAACAATATATTTGCTAATACTTGTTCTGTCCATTTCATTCATAAACATTTTTGAAATTCTAGGTTAATGTCTTTCTAGTCTTTATTTTCATAGCGTGTGCATTTCCTCACAAACATCATTGTTAACAGCTAACAAAAGTATGTATTTGGTTATACTCTGGCCTGGAGCTAACACTTTCTGGGTTAAAATTCCTTTCTGATTTTCAAGATGCCTGGAATTAAAGTAATTCTCTGTAATAGATTTTCTTCTGTATATGTCAATAAGTAGGCAACTCCTCTAGTGTTAAGGGTGGGGGGAATCATGCAGATATGTGAAAATCATGTTTTGTCTTCAGTGAACTCTTTATTCTAAAGAAGTTTCAAGTAAGTATATGAGAAACCAACTTAATTCAGTAGTGTAGAAATCATTTTGCCTGGCATTGGTGGCGCCTTTAATCCCAGTACTTGGGAGGCAGAGGCAGGTGGATCTCTGTGTGTTCGAGGCCAGCCTAGTATACAGAGTGAGTGCCAGGGTAGGCTCCAAAACTACACAGAGAAACCCTGCCTCAAAAAACCAAAAATAAAAAGAAACCATTTTAACCATTAACAGCCAGGGATGGCATGTATGTTACATAATTCAAATCTTTTGACACCTATTGAGGCATGTAAACCCTGTTTTTTCAATGACAGTACAAACAATCCAAGAGAACGGTTCAAAAAACTGGGACAAATGATAGAATGTAGAGGAAACATAAAATATGATCATTTTGAACAGTCAAAATTATTAAGACCCCCATTAGTTTTATTTAACATAGTAGAATTCAGTAGGTAGAATATTTATATTCATGCAATATTTATATTATGAAATCATTAGCATATTACTATTAATGAAAATACTACCTGAACTGAAGTTTACCTCCCCTGTGAAGAAAAATACAAATATCTCTCTACATAGCTTTGTGGCATCTAGTTTAATATGGTGTCCACTGTTTTCCTAGACTGAAGACCTTCTGAAAGCAATCGTCAATATTACTCATTCCTGGGAAGAACCACTGAAACACCTGTTGTCTGCAGTGCCTACTCTCCCAGGAGCTTCTGATAATATGCTGAAATCAGCCAATGCTGTGAAAGAAAAAAATCATATACTTCTGGAAGGAATTGAGGCCATCCTCAACAAGGTAAGTTGTTTCAACAAGTCTTGTTTATCCTATTCCCCAAAGTTTGCAAATTATGTAATTCAAAACAATTTTGAGACACTCAAATACAAAGTTAATTACTAAGCCAATGGAACAGTGATCTCTGTAGAAAATAGTTGTGTTCCTGTATGAATTTTACCAAAATACATTAAGTGAAATATACTGCTCATATGCAAGGATTCATAAGTATATAGAGTGTAGAATGGATTTATCTGAAAAGAAGGAAAGAATCAGGACACTCCACCAGAACCACTGTGGTATTAAGGACATGTCAGGGAGAGTACTGAGATCATGTAAAATACCCCCAAGTGAAAGGATGATACTAGCCCTTTCCTTGATTTTTAGTTAATTCCATATATACAGCCAAATTTAATCTTGATGGATCACTATCTGTCCTCTTGTGTGTGGATATATCTCATCTGACCTCAGTGGCATGTCAGAAAATACATGTTATTACTGTTTCAATTTTATGTGTTGTTGTCTATTTCCTTTACAGTAATTTCCAAGTTTTATCATTACGACTATATAGACCTATATATCCTACCAAAGTTCATTAAAAATTTACAAGGAATATGCACTGAGAGATGTCTCATGCCTTTAAGTTCCTGCCTTCCATGGTTGACAAAATTTGGGTAAATGTCACTGTGGTGTCTTCCCTTTGTAGCCCAACGGATAGGCAATGAGACTTATAGAGATGTGCTATGAGTTGCAGATAAAAGTAAGAAAATCTAAGTAGATGTCACTGGAGGAATTTAGCCCCATATTGACCACTGACACCCAAATCATTTATATCACACACATACCTTTGCATTTGATGTTTAGACCCAGGTTGAAGTTGAAGATGACACATACCCTGATTGGTCTGGACTGTCAGATTTGCAGTCATCTGATGAAGAGACTCGTCTTTTTGAATTTTTTAACCTGTGCCGTTGCCTGAGAAGGGATACACACAAGGTTGACACTTTTCTCAAGGTCTTGAGGTGCAGAGTTGTCTATAATAATGAGTGTATGTATTATCAATGAGTGCTGAGTGCACATCCCAGAAATATCCTCCTGTCATGGTCCTTGTTGAAGCAGAACTTTAATGATTTTTCCCCTTCCCAGTGTATGAATGATTATAATGAAATTCTTCCTATAAAATAAAATCTAATTCTTTAGAAACAACAGATTCAATGTGAAAATTTAAGAAAGTCTCTTGTGTCCATTTAATATAATTTGGGTCTAGGATTTTGTGATGTGCATTCAAAAACCTCAAGTTTGACAAGCACAAAAGACAGCATAAAACTTATTTTAGATCACACTGAAGGAAGGGAGACAATTTACTTAAGAGCAAAGCCAAGAGACTGGTGCTGCTTATTAGATCAGCTGTATCAAGGGAGTAGATATCTGAGGAAGGTTATAAAAGATAACCATTATGCCAGCAAATTTTTAGTCCAATAACAATCAATAGAGGTTCAGTAATATTGGACTATCCCCGGTATCATTAATTTAGACATTCAAATATGTAGTAGGTAAGAAGTATGAATCAGATCTATATTTCTCTAGTGCCCATCTGCCACCTTGATCCTCCTTAGGCCCATCTTAGGAAAGAAGATTTCCCCCTTCTGTATTTCAGAATCCAGGACCATTTTAATACTTTAAAAATAAAAGTATAAAACAAAGAAGCCAATCCCACATTTATAGACACAGTGCAACTGGCCAGAGGACCTGGGAACGTGTCTCTTGGTGGTTACATTCTAAGTGAAGTCTGAAGTTTTCAGGCAAGATTAAGAGGAAGCTGTAGTGATCTATATAGTCACCAACTGGAAAGCAGAAAATATATTTGATAAGATTTAGAAGATGCTCACTGTCACACCAGGGTGGTTCTACTTTCTATTACCTCTAAGGTATTCAACTAAGAAGATTACATTTGAAGAACTTGTGCTATCATGAGAAGAGTAACAGCCATCATATTAAGGCAGACAAAGCAGTAGAAAACTTTAAATGAGATAGATTAATAAATCACACCATGAACAATAAAGCTACAATTTGAGAAGAAAGAAATATGTTTTTTCATGAGGATATTTTTCTTGAAATTGTGATGCTTACACAAATAAACTAATGTTATATTAAGATGAGTATAATAGTTTATGCACTCATATCAAACTGCATCAAAAGAAGTTCAGTCATTAATGGAGATGAAAATATGGAAAAAGTGTATCAAGATGCAAATGGCTAAGATCTGGAAAACAGAAACCATGATATCACAATTTAATAATTCTTCTTGAATATTGTATGATGTAACTCTATTTTGATTTTGAACAAAACTCTGAGATATTCTCTTATCCAGCACATAAAGAAGTAGTAAATAGTTATAAATGATATTCTTCAAAATGGTTATTAAGTATCTCCTCTTACAATGTAATATACACATTAGCCTAGGGTAAATGCAAGAAAAGCCTGGTGAAGCCTGTTTTTTTTTATAGCAGATGCATATCTTCGACTTGGAAAATTCTTATCCATGTGGTAGAGGACAATGAAAGTAAGAATAGGTAAAGAAGGCAGTTTAGGGATATAAGAAAATTTTTTAGATGTGGAAAATAATATAAAATTAATCTAATTTTGAGGTCTGTTGTAGTGTGAAGTTAGTAGGGTCTGATTATCAAGTTCTGGAGAGTAAGCAACAGCAATGGCAATAACCTGTATCATTTGACAGTCTATGAGGCCTCCCAATGGCCAGCAAATCTGATAGAAGTGATCCATTCCTAGCTTTGAACTTTTTACTTCTTAGCTTCTGACATCTAATAGGGATATTATTTTCCCACTGTAGGATAACTCCATTAAGCTTTTCAAAATGTATGGATATGCTTATATTTTAGGAAGCTTCTATACTAAGACTTTTCATATGACTTTTTCTGAAGGCCTTTAGTGTTAGTTAACTCTTCCTCTCTTTCCTCTTCCATCCTTCCCTACCCTTCCTCACCTCATTTAACATTGCTGGTTCCATTATTTCCTTAAGCCTATTATATAATTATATCTGAATTCTAGCTTCTCTCCCTTTAAAGGATCCACTTCCAGCTTTCCATGGACTTTTACTAATTTCTGGAACTCTGTAGGTCTTTGAAATTGTCCTATAGCACTTTCTTCCAAGGTTAAATCTTTCTAACTTGCAGGGAAACTCACAAAACAGAGAATATTTACAGGGCAGTGAAACAAAGGGATGTTCAAGGGGGAAGTGAGCCTACCATCTTATTATTATTCTGCTCATTATGACAGAAAGTAAAAAACTCAGTTACATTCAGGATTTCCATGAAACTTATGTGATTCACAAGGTAGCTCCATCCATAAGATTATATAAGCTGTACAGCCAAACTATCTAAGAAAGACAGATCAGACAAGCTACCTGGAATAAGAAGAGAGTGGCCAAGCTAACTGTCACAGACAAGCTGTACTTCTGAAGAGCTCAAATTGATTTCTCAAAAGGACACAATGCAGCCCACTAAGCTTCTTGAAGGTTGTACATTGTGCTTTACATTTCCAGCTTTTATGAGTTGTCATCCATGCCCTAGCTGGTTATGGTATTGTATCTCTTTGATTACCTTCATGTCCTGTAAGCAACCCTTTATACAGATTCCTGTATGTATCCCCAGTGCAACTCACTTTGTCACCAAGTTGCATGTTGTTGCTATCCCTACTTTATTCTGCCTTGGGTGAGTAGATGTCTATGCAATTCCCCCTGGGAGTAGTTTCATACAACATACATAACATACACAGATCCGAAGATCAATACTAATATTCATAAATAAGTTTGTGTTTCTGAGTCAAGGATAACTCACTAAAATGATTCTCTCTAGCTCCATTCATTTACCTGAAAACATTATTGTTTTCTAAACTGGTGAATAAGATTATATAGTCCCCTGATCCCAGCCATCTATCTCTATACTCTTAAGCTCTGTCCATTCTCCAAAATCTTCCTGATATGGGGGGTGATGTGAAAGCCTAATTCAGGAGAAAGTTCTTATAATCTATGAGGGGGACCATAGCAAGGACTCATAGCAATAGTGAATAAGGAGCTTGAACTTGTCATCTTCTGAAACCATGCAAGGCTTCCAGTGGTGGGACTGAGACACTGATCCAGCCATAAGATCTTCAACCTACAACATGTCCTGCCTGCAAGATGTCCTGGGGCAATGGTGGTTCAGAACTTGTAGAAGTGACCAACCAATGAATTGTCTAACTTGAGACTAAAATCATGAGAGGGGGCACAAGCCCATCACTGCTTGGATGTCTAGGATACTGAATATAGATAACCCAGAGACCTAGATTAGAACCAAACACAACTGGAAAAAGTAAATAGAATTCAATTAAAAAGTCAATGAGAGGATTCCTATGATATTGTGCTGTATTCATAGATCAATACTTAGCCCAATAATCACCATAGTGGTTTACTCCTTAGCTAATGGGAGCAGATACACAGACCCTGAGCTTAACATTAGGCTTAGGTCACATGACCCCTTGGAAGATGGGGAGCAAGGAGAGTAGATGCCAGAGAGTTCAAATACAGTAGAATCAAGTAATAAGGCCTCTTAAGGGCCCACAAACTGAAGCAACAATAAAAAAGTCTGCATGGGTCTGTAGTAAATCCACTTAATATATGTTATATTTGCTTAGCTTGAGTTTTTGAGAGACTCCTAAGAGTGGGAGTTTTCTAAACTGCTTAGCCATATCTCTAGCTCTGGTAATTTCCTTTCCTGTTATACATTTCTGATTCGAGCAAGAGGAAATGTCCAAATAGTTCTAATTTTCATTTTCCTGGATGCTGAGGGTTCTTTTGATAACTACCTACTTAGTTCCTTGTCCCATTTCATTATTATGTTGTTTGCTTGATAATTAGAATTTTTTAGTGTTTTCCATATTCTAGACATTCTGTCAGATATATTAAATATTTTGTCCTATCATATAGGGTGCCTTTTCACCTGAAGTGTTGTGCTCTTCTCTTTTTTTTCTTCCTTTTAAAATTTATTCTTTAATTAATACTCACATTTACATATCCATCCCCCCATTCCCTTGCCCTCCCATCCTTTTTTCCCCACCAACACCCCACCCCATCCCCCAACTCTTCCCCAGGGAGAGTGAGTCCCTCCATGTGGGACCTTCAAAGTCTGTCATATCATTTGGGGGAAGGCCTTGGCCCTACTTTCTGTATCTGGGCTGCAATAGTATCCCTCCATAGGGAATGGGCTCCCACAGCCCATTTGTGCTCTAGGGATAAAGACTGGCTCCACTGTTAGAGTTCCCTATACATAGACATTTTAAGTTAGTGTGTGTGTGTGTGTGTGTGTGTGTGTGTGTGTGTGTGTGTGTGTGTGTGTGTGTGTGGGGGCTCTCTTTCTCATATTTCTCAATTGTTGATCTTAATGCTGGTACTTCCAGGGTTCTATTCACAAGGTACTTTCTTGGGCCTGTATGTTTTTGTGTGTGCCCAACTTTCTATTCTCTCATGTTGAGGGTGTTCTGTCATATATTGTGGCCCTCAGTTTATTTAGACTTGACTTTTGTAAACCTTCAGAAATAAGGGCCTTGTCTCACTATTATACTTGTAAGTATAATTTTTGAGCATAGGTAACATTTGTTGAAGATCCTGTCTTATCTCTAATGTGTATCCTCTCTTAAGCCAAACATCGGGTGACTGTAGAAATCTGAGGTTATATATGGATCATCAATTCTCCTCTAACGGGTAGTGTATCTATTTTCATGCAATACCATGGTGATTTTATTGGCACAAATATGTAGTATAACTTGAAATTTATGATGTTTATATTTTAAGCAGTATTTTGTCACTGTTCAGTAATATTTGAATACCCTTGGTCTTTGTGTTTGCATATTGTTTAATATTATCTTTTCAATTTCTATGAAGAATTGTATTGTGATTACAATGGAATGACATTTAATCTGTAGATTGGTTTCTGTACAATGACCATTTTAATCCTATTTTTCTATGATATCCTTGAGACATAGAACACAGAGTGGTCAGCTCTTACAGA